ATTAAGTAAGCTTGATTGGCTTGGGCGTTGATCAGTTCGTGTGATGGGGATAAGTTCGCCCCTGCACTGCTTTTCACTGAGAACAAAGATGGCTTTTAAAATTCGAATCTTGTTAGTTAGTCCCCTCATTCCTTGAGGAACTTTTCAACAATCCCCCTGTAAATAATTTCCTGTCCTCTTGCAAAGGATTGAGGTAATTAACAATATACCGAAACTCAACCTTCTTGCGTTTCAGGTAATGACTTTTGTATTTAAGATCGTTTCGTGCTAAACAATATGTATTTATAGGTAAACAACTTCAAAGGAAACAGTTGCTCTGGCAAAATTTGCAAAACTGCTTCAACCATTTTCCCATAAATGTCATTTACGGTTACCATGAAATGAGCAGGAAAGCCCAATTTCTGAAAATAATGCCCAAATTGCACGTGGAACCATAGAGCAATAGACCGATTTGAAAGATCCATACAATTTTTATCGATTGCTACCAGATGGAATGATATAAAACCAGGGGTAGATTGATAGAGAGTTGCAAGGAGAAGGGAGGTTATCGGAAAATTTTTTTATCCCGCTCAACTAGCACCCAAATATTTGTCTTTCATTGCTATATTTTAAAGCATCAATTCTTGGTCTATAGGTCACGTCGCTAGATATTTAGGTCACAGCGGACGATCTTCGATAGGGCCAATGAACTTCAATGCGGCAGAAGATCTTTAAATCACGGCAGAAGATCATTAATGTGTCAATTCGAAACCTTATGCTCTCAAATTTTGCTTAACCCAAACACATTGATATGAGAATGATTTGAAAAAAAAATGGAACAATTCTGCTTTCGGTAGAGCTTGAGTTTGCGTCTAGATGACTTTTAATTCTTCGAAACCTGGGGATTTGTGCATGCTACAGATTTATAAGAAATCCATTCGAAATTAAAATAAAAAGTGTCTATTTAAAACATAAAAAATTCCGACTGCTTTTACTAAAATGAAAAAAAAATAAGATATAAAAATTAGAAATAGTTTGACAGAAAAATTGGCAGTTTTTTAAGACTCACACCTTGCAAGCTGAATGGAAGAAGAAAAAGAAACTTTTTGCATCCGTTAACACAATCTTGGGTCAATTTGCGCACCTACATTTTATTTGGAATAATTTTTGGACTTGATGAATCCGCCGCATTTTCTAAAAGCTCGAAAAAAATGTACAAAACTTCAGCAAAATTTAATAAACAAAAAAAAGAAACCAAAACAAAGAGTTGATATACAACCAACAAATAAAGTTCGAATGGCATGTCAATTTAAAAAGTAGTCATACTCAAAGTTATCTCTTGGCAAATATTCTGTTCTGCTTCCAACAAAACAACTGTTCCAACTGATTTTATTAAAAGAGTTGTTTACCCGAGAAAAATTCTGAGCGTCAGTTTGTGTCAAAAAACATTAAGTAAGCTTGATTGGCTTGGGCGTTGATCAGTTCGTGTGATGGGGATAAGTTCGCCCCTGCACTGCTTTTCACTGAGAACAAAGATGGCTTTTAAAATTCGAATCTTGTTAGTTAGTCCCCTCATTCCTTGAGGAACTTTTCAAAAATCCCCCTGTAAATAATTTCCTGTCCTCTTGCAAAGGATTGAGGTAATTAACAATATACCGAAACTCAACCTTCTTGCGTTTCAGGTAATGACTTTTGTATTTAAGATCGTTTCGGGCTAAACAATATGTACTTATAGGTAAACAACTTCAAAGGAAACAGTTGCTCTGGCAAAATTTGCAAAACTGCTTCAACCATTTTCCCATAAATGTCATTTACGGTTACCATGAAATGAGCAGGAAAGCCCAATTTCTGAAAATAATGCCCAAATTGCACGTGGAACCATAGAGCAATAGACCGATTTGAAAGATCCATACAATTTTTATCGATTGCTACCAGATGGAATGATATAAAACCAGGGGCAGATTGATAGAGAGTTGCAAGGAGAAGGGAGGTTATCGGAAAATTTTTTTATCCCGCTCAACTAGCACCCAAATATTTGTCTTTCATTGCTATATTTTAAAGCATCAATTCTTGGTCTAAAGGTCACGTCGCTAGATATTTAGGTCACAGCGGATGATCTTCGATAGGGCCGATGAACTTCAATGCGGCAGAAGATCTTTAAATCACGACGGAAGATCATTAATGGGTCAATTTGAAAACTTATGCTCTCAAATTTTGCTTAACCCAAACACATTGATATGAGAATGACTTGAAAAAAAATGGAAGATTCTGCTTTCGGTAGAGCTTGAGTTGGCGTCTAGATGACTTTCAACTCTTCGAAACCTGGGGATTTGTGCATGCTACAGATTTATAAGAAATCCATTCAAAATTAAAATAAAAATTGTCTATTTATAATATCAAAAGTTCCGACTGCTTTTACTAAAATGAAAAAAAAAATTAGATATAGAAATTAGAAACAGTTTGACAAAAAAAGTTGCAGTTTTTTAAGACTCACACCTTGCACGCTGAATGGAAGAAGAAAAAGAAACTTTTTGCATCCGTTAACACAATCTTGGGTCAATTTGCGCGCCTACATTTTATTTGGAATAGTTTTTGGATTTGATAAATCCGCCGCATTTTCTAAAAGCTCGAAAAAAATGTAAAAAACTTCAGCAAAATATAATAAGCAAAAAAAAGAAATTAAAACCAAGAGTTGATATACAACCAACAAATAAAGTTCGAATGGGAAGTCAATTTAAAATGCAATCATACTCAAAGTTATCTCTTGGCAAATATTCTGTTCTGCTTCCAACAAAACAACTGTTCCAACTGATTTTATTAAAAGAGTTGTTTACCCGAGAAAAATTCTGAGCGTCAGTTTCTGTCAAAAAACATTAAGTAAGCTTGATTGGCTTGGGCGTTGATCAGTTCGTGTGATGGGGATAAGTTCGCCCCTGCACTGTTTTTCACTGAGAACAAAGATGGCTTTTAAAATTCGAATCTTGTTAGTTAGTCCCCTCATTCCTTGAGGAACTTTTCAACATTTCCCTCCTGTAAATAAATTCCTGTCCTCTTGCAAAGGATTGAGGTAATTAACAATATACCGAAACTCAACCTTCTTGCGTTTCAGGTAATGACTTTTGTATTTAAGATCGTTTCGTGCTAAACAATATGTATTTATAGGTAAACAACTTCAAAGGAAACAGTTGCTCTGGCAAAATTTGCAAAACTGCTTCAACCGTTTTCCCATAAATGTCATTTACGGTTACCATGAAATCAGCAGGAAAGCCCAATTTCTGAAAATAATGCCCGAATTGCACGTGGAACCATAGAGCAATAGACAGATTTGAAAGATCCATACAATTTTTATCGATTGCTACCAGATGGAATGATATAAAACCAGGGGCAAATTGATAGAGAGTTGCAAGGAGAAGGGAGGTTATCGGAAAATTTTTTTATCCCGCTCAACTAGCACCCAAATATTCGTCTTTCATTGCTATATTTTAAAGCATCAATTCTTGGTCTATAGGTCACGTCGCTAGATGTTTAGGTCACAGCGGACGATCTTCGATAGGACGGATGATCTTCAATGCGACAGAAGATCTTTAAATCACGGCGGAAGATCATTAATGGGTCAATTTGAAAATTTATGCTCTCAAATTTTGCTCAATCCAAACACATTGATATGAGAATGACTTGAAAAAAATTGAACAATTCTGCTTTCGGTAGAGCTTGAGTTGGCGTCTAGATGACTTTTAATTCTTCGAAACATGGGGATTTGTGCATGCTACAGATTTATAAGAAATCGATTCAAAATTAAAATGAAAATTTCTATTAATATTATAAAAATTTCCGACTGCTTTTATTAACATGAGAAAAAAATTAGATAAAAAAATTAGAAATTGTTTGACGAAAAAAACTGGCAGTTGTTTTAAGACTCACACCTTGCACACTAAATGGAAGAAGAAAACAAAACTTTTTGCATCCGTTAACACAATCTTGGGTCAATTTGCGCGCCTACATTTTATTTAGAATAAACTTTGCACTGGATGAAACCGCCGCATTTTCTAAAAGCTAGAAAAAAATGTTAAAAAAACTTCCGCGAAAATTAATAAGCAAAAAAGAAACTAAAAACAAGAGTTGATATACAACCAACAAAAAATATTCGAATGGGATGGCAATTTAAAAAGCAATCATACTCAAAATTATCTCTTGGCAGATAGTTTGTTCTGCTTCCAACAAAACAACTGTGCCGAATGATTTTTATTTAACTAGTTGTTTACCCGAGAAAAAATCTTATTCCGATTTGCCAACTCTTGCTAATTGCCATCGGACAAACCTATTTGATGACAAACATAATTAACCTTTTAAATACCCCTCGTTACACAGCAAATTTGATGCTTATATGACATGGGAGGAAAGGGAAACGCCGAAAACAGTTATTTATTCGCCAAAAGCTAGAATTCTCAAGCTACAGCAAAACTATTAAAATGTCGTCTTTGAGGTAATTTAACCTGATAATTACAAAAACTTTTTTATGCCAACTGGTTTTTACACTACTTTTGCGTAATATTAACAAAAGTAACTTGTTAAAACAGAATTAATTTCTAAAAATTTCCAGCCTGTCTCATAGTCAGTTTTCTCATTTTCATGTTCTAGATAAGGTTATTTGATGCTCCAAGATCTTTTTAGCAATTCAAAACGGTCTTTTTGCCTCTACCGCTATTGCAGCCGAATTAGGTAAGGCTGTGGTTGACCTGAAACTATTAGTCCAAGGAGAGAAATCATTGTCATGACAAAGTATCGATTAACAATCTGACGCTTTCAAAGTGATCACATTACTACTGTGCTAAGTATTTTAGCATTTTAATTTGAGTTTTCTAGAGAACCGAGGACACTGTTTAGCTTTAATCAAAATAATTTCCAAGGGTTTTGAGGGCATAATTTACCGAACGTAAGCAATTTATGCTTATGCATTGAGTATCGTGGATCAGTCACCTTTCATAGCCTCTTTAAATGCGTTTTTCTCAATTGAAAACGTACTCCACTGAATCATCTATTTCGTAGCTTTTAATTAGGACAGGTTGTACAATTGATTAACTAATCTGCGATTTAAAACTAACGAACTATGATGCACCGAATGATGAATTAAATTAAAGTCAAAGTGCAAGCGAGACCTTTTTTTTCAGTCTACGGGCAAAACACCATGCAAATCCATATTTGCAAACCAATTTTTCTCTTCAGTGCAAAATGCGGAAGTCTACAATGGTCTGAAAAATTTTGTCGAAATAAAATAAAAATTACGCATTGAACTCAGAGAACAAAACGCAGAAACTTTGAACTTTTAGTTTTCTGCCACACTGAAACTCCAAATTGGAAAAAAATCTTTACAACTATGCGCTGTGTTGCCTGTAGATCAAAAAAGAGCCTCTACTAAAATCCAATTTCACATCACAGTCTCAAGTCTACAGTTGTGATTCCTATAGAAGGGTCCATAGTCACGTGGGGCGACACTTGTTGCAAGGGGGGCTCTTTTGCATGGTAGTGGAATCCAGCCTCTCTACATTCGCTCAGTACTTTCAGGCCATGTTGTGTGATTGAAAACGACTGGTACCTAAAACAACGACTCTCAAGTTTAACATATACTTCTTTTGCTATAAATATTTGCACAATTAAGCAATAAACTGGCAAAAAGGAGCTTTAAAATTGCAAAAAATAGCACATAAGCCATGAAAAAATAGCCGACAACGGTATTCCTGTTGTTATTTGACAACCCGACCCTAAATGTTCCCCATTAAATCTTATCGTAACTCACTGCTGGTATTTGGGGGAGTAGACGATGGCTACGGACTCTGGAATCATGCTCTGGTAGCTGAACTGGGTGTGGAGATCCACACTGGACAGGAATGCAGACTGGGTGGGGTGGGTGTGGATCCAGCCAAGAGTGATTACGTCATACTTCTCCTGAAACCAAACGACAAAACGTGAACACAAAAACCAGTATAAGGATGTGCGATGCATTAAAAGTACATATGCATTGGAATAATTATAGACTGTTGAATTGAAGCTTAGTCGCGCTGCATTGGATACTTTCTGCATATTTCGATTATTTTCTTTATTTAGATTATACTATTTTGAAACTGGAAAGGCGGGCTTTAGACGAAAAAAGGTTGAACTCAATTTCAAACTATTTGAACGCGAGATTAAGTCTGATTTTGCGTGATGTCTCACTTTTGATGTCTGAACAGATTTCGTGCTATTTTGTTGCTCAAAATTCAATTAGTTTTTTTTTACATCAAACAGTCCAACCTAGTGAAATCTTATAAACGAAACTCAAATAAACATAGCCAACTGACAGTTGGAAAAGAGTAATGAACGCCAAGAAACAGGAAAAAAAACTAACTTTCGAGTTTCGAAGAAAAAAATGGCCTTGAACCTCTTTGAATTTCTAAAACAATTTATGATTGACAATTTTTTTCATAAAATTAACCCAAATTGAGAAAACTGGATCAATAGCTGAAACTTTTATTTTGCTGGGAAAACTGATAATTAAATTCCACTTTCGAAACTTGAAGTCGATCTCGTTTTTCTGATCTTTACACTTTTGCTGTTCGATAGTGAAGTTTGCCTCCTTTTAACAATGCAAATGCACTGAAATTAAAAAGAAATGTTCAATCAAACCGCGAAAAAACAAACCACACGTCAAACCGCGAAAAAAGAAGTGTGAACAAATTTTCCTGCGAAAAAAAAACAAAAAACCACCAAGACCTATATAAGAGTCTTCACCGCGTTCATAACTCTTAAAAAAAAGACATCTGGTTACTGTGCAAGTAACCCAAAATATTCTGGTACTCTGATTTTTTCCTCAAATTAGCGTCGTCTTTTTCTGCGTGGTCTGATAAAAAGAGCTGAAAAAATAGAGCTTAGGCATATTCGACAGTCACTGTAAAATAGGCCAATAGGAAAACAGTTTTGAAAAGAATGACAAGAAAAACGAAAAACTTTTGATTCCCAAAGTGGCGCTAAAACTACAAACTAACTTTACTCGAGTATAATAATGTTTTCACGGCGTAAATAAAGCATAAATGAGCTCACCTTATCAGCTCGAAATTCGAACAAATCAAAAACTTGAAACCGGTTTTTCTCGACACTGAGAACAAACTTTGGAACATTCTTAATGTCGTTAGCATCACGACTGAAAGGGTTTTAATAAGACATATCACTCAAACCAGTCCGATGCTTATTCTGGTACCTGATTTTGCATGGAAAACCAAAAAAAATTTTAAAACTAAAACAACCAAATACAAAGTTCCTCCCTATTTTTCAAATGATCGAAACAACAAAAGCCGCCCATAAGTTTTGAAGTACCAGCGAGCAAAATGACAAGCAAACAAGACTGCTCGTGTCAGGGCAAATCCCTGAATGTCTCGTCTCCACTACCGATTAAACTCATTAAAATAGCCTTAGAAAGTTGCCAATATTCAAACCCCCAAAACTTTCGAAAATAGATCACAGGTGAATCTTTTTAAACTTAAGCTGAAGTCGTAAATAGCTTTTTGATAATATTTAAGAAATCATTTAAGCTTTCACTTAGAACAATTTAAATCTTTGTCCAGAAAAAAACCTCGCCGAGCATAAATACTCCCTCACGTTCTTCAAAAGTCGGAAAACGCTTTACCAGTACTGTACGTTTTATAGCATAGAAACTCCTTTTCTATTAACCTTTTTATATTGGTTACTCTCAATTGGTATTTCCAAGACGACGGGTAAAATCTAGGTTGAGAACACCAGTTATAAGCTAAAAGAACGAGGACTTCAATTGTCATGCTGAGTTTTTTATACAATCTGAAAGTTATTAACATTCCAAGTACAATTTTAAAAAAATCACCAGTGATCATTTTTCGTAAGGTTATGGATGAGAGGAAATTGTCAATCTGAGACAATTAGCACGCAACTTAGTTCGTGCTTTTAACACGAGAGCTGTGATTTAATCCGCTCAGCACTCGTTCCAAACTGATGCAAAACATTTAGTCTTATAAATGTTACTAGACGCTAGCTAAATACGTCACTTTGCCATTAAACATAGCGCATGGGGATTTTTTTAACAAATATATATTTTTTGAAATTTTATCAACTTTGAAGTTTACTTAAGCTTTTATCAAAAATTATTTCAGGGGGAACAGGTCTTTGTACTTATTCCGCCTAATTTTGCGAAGTCAATCTTTTACGTGGAGAAAAAACACACGGATTGGGCTCGAATGGTTAATACCACTGCGTTAAAAATTTTCTTCAGCCAATTTCCAACGAAGCCAGCTTCGAGCAGAAGTTGATTAATTTTTTTCCCGGAGCTTTTTGTGATTTCTGTGGTCCGAAAAAAAAACTATGCAGCTTATTTGAAACAAAATTGAAATTTTAACCAAACAATTTTGGTCAGTTCGGCAAATATATAAACCAACTTAAAATGGATAAGAAAAAACTTCGAGCTGACGTTGGAATCTGTGGCTAATTCTAGCCAATCAGACACAAAAACATTGGTTTCATCTTCATATGTGCAAATAAGGATATTGGCATAAGTAGAAAGACCCCACAAAAATTGATGTATAGCAGTCCCAACATTCAGGGCTTTGCCCTGATACGAGCATTCTTGTTAATCGTCTTAAAAGAACATATTGTAGTCAATTATGGTTAGCGCAGACTACCGACGCCGGACTGTGCCAGGTTCAAATCTATTTAAGGACCTTCTTGTCAGCAGTCAAATCATCTAACTCAAATGGAACACCTATGCATATATTGGTCCATAACTTCTTGTGTTCGTTTGGTACGTTCTATCATCAACACCACCCCTACTTGCCTGCACTTCGAAGAGCTCCTCCTCGTGTGAAGTCAGACATGAATCAGAAGTGCCAGACTGTTTGGGTAGTACCACCACCGTCACAGTGAACTGGTTGTTGCTCTACAATAGAAACTACAAATGAAGTCTAGTAGACAGCAAAATACTTTAAATCAATTTCAACTTCAATTTCAAATCCAAGTTATTTTCCTCGACACAATTTATAAATATTTATAAAAAAAAACAGTATTTTTAGTTTTTCAAAACGATAGTTCACTCCACCCATTCCAGTTTTGTTTAGTTGAACATAGAGGCGTATCCAAGAACTTTTCGAGGTCGGAATTTCAAAGTTTTGTCACCCTTTTTTCAGGCCAATCAAATTAATTTTTCAAGCTCGCCGAAACACTAAAACAGTTTAAAGACCTTATTTTATCTGAGCTTTTGAAAAATCAGGCCAAAAATTCCGTTTTCAGCTTTTTTTTGAGAGGCACGCTCATCCCCTCAAAATTTGTATATATATAGCTACAAACATCTCCTTTAGAAAAATGTTGGGGACCGTAAGCTCAAAATGGATTTCATAAAATAGTACCCCCGCCCCCCCCCCCCCCCCCCACACCGTCGCTCCCTAAATCCACCCATGGTTGAACACGTGACAATGGGACCCATATAGGCATAAATAACCTTACCATTTTCCCACACAGAACACCACACGTCTCTACATTTCTTTCAGTATTTCTCTCAGCAAGTGCTGCAAACTTCTCCCTCAGAATTCCAGGCACCAACAGGGGTCTCAACTGCTGCGACCCTCGATTTGCACCTTCAAGCAAAACCAAACTAAACTCCTATGAGAACCTAGATAGGGAACACTTTAGGCAAAACAAGGCAGAAAATACATTGATTGATATTTTACATATTCATCACACTACAGCCTAACTATGCTTGGACAATTTGCTTGAAATTTTGTCCATTTCTATTGTTCTAAATTTTTTTTAAAAAAACTCACTTTCAGTGGATATTTTTTATAGTTGCTTTTTTGAATGAATCATACTCGTAATATTCTCATTAGACTAGAGACAGTAATAATCATTTCCTTAACAGCCTTTTCCAGTTTTTTCAAGTCGGTGCGAAAAAAAAAACAATTTAGAAACTCATTTTAGATCAAAATAATGCATATTTTTAGGAATTACGCCTAACAAACTAAGCTTAAAATCAGGATATGTCATTTCGTAAAAAGAATACGTTCTTTATAAAAATCGTCACCACCTGAATCAATGAGGTTATAGACATCTCTCGAATAATTTCTGTTATCATCTGGCGAAGGCTCTATACTTCGAGACGACCGTGACTTCGATGAATCTGGTGGTACTATTGTGTTAGCTTCAGAAAGTGCTCTTAACCGCTCTGCCTCCTGAAACATAGTACTTCTTTAAAGAAGCTCGTCTCATGTGAACAATTTTTCTGTTATTAGCCAAGTAAACCATCACGCCTCCAAAAATAAATGATGAGTTCAATCAGTAAAACCAACATTAAAAACGCCTAATTCTGATTGGTTGAAAAATACATTTAACCAAGTAAACTATCCCATCTCTAAATTGATTACCGGAAGATGATATTTTTGACTTGTTCAAGGAGCTTTTTTACATTATGCGTAGTGGAGCTTTTCGCTCACTGTCATTTATTCCTCCCACCAAATCATTCAAACACCCCACAAACAAAATTCTCTGCTTGCGAAGCTATAATTTTTGTTAGATGGCAGAGGGGAAGTTTACAATATCGCTCATTGGTTTCGAAAATCTAACAACAAACGGGCTTTGCATCCATTGCAATTTTTTAAGCAAAATCAAAATATGGTTTAACACAGAGGCAAAGCTTCGCTTCGCAAACACTTGCAGGAACACGACAAAAAGCAGCTTTACAAGGTAAAACTATCTACATCTGAGATTCGAACCTGCAACCTAGAGATTAAGTTAAACTATATCGTTTATCAGTTTGAAAAACTACAAATTTCATAGACCGAATCGTTTAGCGAAAAGTTAAGTTTTTCTAAGCAAACTACCAAACTTTCAAATATTTCAATTTATTTCATGGAGCAAATCTGATGCCGAAAAGAGTTTTTCTATGCAAGCTATGACAGCTGAGAATTTTCAAAAAAATTTCCATTTATTTTATGAAGCGAATCGGTCAGCGGAAAGTGAAAGTTTGTCTTAGCAAGCTATTCAAGCGATGAAACTTTGAAATATTTTCAGTTTTATCTTAGACCGAAACATTTTGCGAAAATAAAAAGTTTTCCTATGCAAGTTAATCAATCAATAAAATTTATTCAAGTTATTTCATGAAGGGAATAGAATGAATCGTTTTAGTTTTTCAATAGGAGCCACGCAACCAATAAAACTTTAAAAAAGCTATTTCAAAGAAGGAATCGGTTCGTTAAAAATTAATTTTTCTTAAACTATCCAAGTTATTTTATAGACCAAATTGGTTCGCGAAAATTTAAACTTTTTCAAGCAAACTACATCAAGCAAGTTATTTCATGACCCAATCGGCTGGCATAAATTTAAAGATAAACTATTTAGGCCATTCAAGAGATGAAATTTTGAAACATAGCAAGTTGTTTCATAGAGCTAATCAGTTCGAGACAAAAATAGTTTTTTTTCTTCGGCAAGCCATTCAAGCTGAGAAACTTTGACGAAATTTTGAAATGTTTCAATTATTTTCATGGAGAAACAAGAGATGAAACTTTGAAATGTTTCGGTTATGTTCATGGAGCGAATTGGTACGCTAAAGTTAAAGTTTTTCTCAAGCAACTATTCAAGCTAAGAAGTTATTTCATGAAGGGAATCGGATAGCAAAAAATTTAGGTTTCTCTATTGCAGCCGTACAAGCGATAAAACTTTGAAGTAATTCAAGTTGGTTCTTAGACCGAATCGTTTATCGAAAAATTCAACTTTTCTATGCAAGCTATTCAAGCAAAAAAAATCTTAGAAATATTTCAAGTTGTTTCATTGAGCGAAAAATTTCAACCTTTGTTAGCCAGCTATTCAAACGATGAAACTTTAAAAAATATGAAATTGTTTCCTAAACTGATTCAGTCTATGAAACTTTGAATTACTTCAAATTATTTCATAGATTGAATCAGTTTGTTAGTTTAAGTTTTTTTTTCAGCAATCTTTTTTTAGTTGTTGAATTTTTTTTTTTTTCCAGCAAGCTATTCCAGCTATGAAACTTTCAAGTTACTTTATGCAGCAATTCCGATGGTGAAAATTTCCATGTTTAAAAAAAACTGAAGCGTCAATTTGATTTGACAGAAAAATTTTAGAACATTCTAAATTCTGAAGATTTTTTTAACGTTGAGCTTAATGATTGCTCTAAACCATCGCGCCTTATGTCGGCTAAAACTTGGCATTCACAGGGTTGAGTTTTAAAACGTATGAAATTCAGATTTTTTGTCAGAATTATACCACACATTCTTGGCTGACGAAAAACATGGAACCAATTTGAAACTTCAATTATGAAAAACTTAAATAGGCAAAACTTAGGACATGGTAAAACATAAAAGTGATACGTCACAGGTTAAGGGCACGCATTCATTTGCCGCATTCATTTTTCGATCGTTCATCTATTATATAGGAAGCTGATCGCAAGTGCAAACAACATAATAGAGAAAAGACTACTCAATTAGTAGAATACGCATGTATTTTACAGCACTACTTCGTAGAAACCAAAAACAAAAATCATCTCACCTTGATTTTAGCCAATCTCCTCTCGTAATCTTCCCTCTCCTCGTCTGTCAGTTTTTTCCCACTCTCTTTTTCGGTCAACTGGAGATCTTCGGCTAGTCGGTCACTCAGACGATCATTCTCTGCTCTCTCTGCTTCGTATCTAGACGGAAAAAAAGCTCAATGCAAATGAATCGTAATTCCCAAAACAAGAGCAACAATCGTCGTTTGGTGTTCGAGTATAACAGAATGTTCCGACCACGCCTACTACTATAATTTAAATTCCTTTTTGAGTGGATGTTTGATTGTCGTTTGTTTTTTAAACAGTAAGAGGTGACAGAATTGAAAAATGAGCCATATGAATCAACTAATTACAGCTTAAACATAATTAAAAGCCGCAGAATTGGTCTGAAAAATTGACACAAGCGACTTTTTTTGATTTTTCCTAAGTCGACTTGTTGTGATTTGTTTTTAGTGTCTTATAATGACCTTCGGTATTTTAATTAATACCAGTTTAGTTACGACCATCGGCCGATATGAACGGAAGTTCAGTTGTCCTTTTTAACTTCTCCTTTTAAACTACTTCCTTTTAACGTTTTAACCTTTAAGCTTATGTACATACTTTGTACATATAGAACCATAGAATTAGAATAGTTTATTATGGCGCAGTCAAATGATTTGAACGTGCGTGGAATTCCCCCCTTTTGGCCTAATCACACTCTAGAGCCACCGCATCAATTGGCGATCATTGCGAAAGAAAATCTGGATTTAGAGAGCCTACATGGACCAGAGATACCGGAGACGCAAATTCCAATTTTGGAACAAGCAACAGGCAGCGAGTCGGACGCGGAAAAAGCCAACAGAGAGAGCAGGAACAAAAGCACAATGAAACAGTACGAATCCGCAGAAGAGAAACGGATCAACGAAGAGAAGGGGAAATTTAATGGAATGAGACGAGCGGAGGCGGACAAGAAACTGCGATCAATTTTATTTCTAGCCCTAGGGAGCGAAGGAAAAAGAGTTTTTACACAAAGGAACCCGAGAGTCAAGATTCTAGCAATATCGTTCTCTGAGTTCTGGACTCTACTAGACGCAGCATTTAACAAACCGCCCAACACTACGTTCGAAAGATATAAACTACTAATTCGAAAGCAAAAAGATCGTGAGTCGTACGAACAATTCTGGGGAGCACTGACGGACCTAGCCAGCACGTGCAACATCAAGGAATCTGACGAGGCGGAATGGATAAGGGATATCTTCATTTGCAATATGAAGAACACAGACACCCAGAGGAAGCTACTTTCAGCTACCATAAGCCCGTCGGAAGCACTTAACCAAGCCCTAATCGACGAAAAGGGATATTTTAACCACCAGAAACTGACAAATATGTCACGGTCATCGACCAACGGGACAACTTTTAAATCTTTTAGTAACCACAATCATATCAAAAAGGAACCAAGTTGAAACATCGAAAGGAGTAACTCGTGCATGAAATGCGGAAATACATTTACGAAAGGGCACTTAAACGTTTGCCCAGCGAAGGGAATAACCTGTAAAAACTGTAATTATAAGGGACACTTTGCCAAATTATGTAAATCACGCAATAAGAGACCAACTGTAAATACTGTATCAGATAATAACGTAAATACTGAGAATTGTACATACACACCTCCGGAAAACTCGTGGATGGAAGAAAAAGAATTGTGCGACGTTATAAATACGTGGAATGAGTACGGACAGAGCGACGATGACGATTTCTCGGTGTTGAGCGTCAGAACTATTTACGACAATAATGGTCTCGAAACAAAGAAACTCCTGAACCTAGGCTGGGACATGATTGTAAATATGAACATACCTGTAGATTCAGCAAGCCCTGTAAGTTTTTTAAAACAGAATGTACTACACGAAATTAAACTAAGATACCCGAACCTCAAGATACACCCAGTGGAGAAAAGAATAAAAGACCTATACTGCGGATTCACCAATGATACGATCAATATTTTGGGAAAAATAATTGTCAGAACACAGTCCAATGGGTGGAACAGCGAAGAAACCCCATTCTTCATAACCAGCGGACACGAGCGAAACATATTGGGGAACGACAATTCACCCAAACTGGGCATAGAAATAACGCAGAGGAAATGCCCCCAACCAATCTGCATGGTCAATCAACCCACACTCGAGAGTGAGTACAAAAACTTACCTTCTTTATCAGACAAAATTTTTAACGAGTTCAAAAACTTATTCACTAGAGTGGGGAAAATACCTAACGATCGAAAGGTAACCCATTTTCACACACCTTTTAAACCAATACAGTCCAAAGGGAAAAGAGTTCCACTCCACTTACTCGCGGGAGTGAACGAAGAGTTAAAAAGAATGGAAAAAGAAGGTCACATAATAAAATTAGAGAAATGCGACGAAGATTGTTTTATCAGCCCAATTGTAATCACTCGGAAAAAGGATACTTCAATAAAACTGGCACTTGACTCTAAGCTTTCAAATGATCAAATTAGTAAAAATAAGTATCAAATGAAGATTTCGTAAAACAGGTAACAAGATGAACTGTATTAAAACCCCGCCAAACACATCAAACTGAAAACAATACAAATTTACAGAATCACAGATCCCCCTTATTCAGAGGGTTACTAAATGAAAAGGAAATTTTACTGCAGTTCAGTGGCGATAGTGTCGATTAATTAAATAACAGAGTAATTACACACAAGCACAAAGCGGTAGCTAAAACAGCAATTAAGCTGTAAACGCAATCATTGTAAATTGCGAAACACTGTTGATCCAATCAGAGCATTGCACATTGAAATGAATACATTATGGAGTGAATATAGCACGTAAACGGTCAACTAACGAAAATAGCACAGAACACGCAAAATCACATAGAAATGAATACATTATGCAGTCAAAATGACATGTTCGAGCACATACATTGAAAGTTTCACATAAACACTAATAAATAGCCTTGTTGTGGATGAACTTCATCAGCATTTCAGAAGCGTAACCAGACGATTTCTTAAGGCAATCAGCGACCTGAATATTCGTCGGAATCCACTCGAGTTTGCTGATTTCTCCCGTTTCTATCATTGAACGAAAAGACGTTATTTCTATCTGAAGTCGTTTGTCTTGGGGAATTTTGGTCGAATATACGGACTCCACAAGAGAACGGTTATCGGTAAAGCAATACACAGGTACTGAAATAGACAATAACTCTTCCACCAATTTACAACAAAGAAAACCAGCTTCTGCAGCATTCATGGCAGCAATAGTTTCTGCGCAAAGGGTGCTACGTACTACCCTTCTTAGTTTGTGCGATTTCCAGGATAAAAGTGCCCTTGTGCCGTTGGACCCTTGCAAAAATACGAGATACCCAGCCTGAGTTCCGGTGCCATTTATGTTATTGAAGCTAGCATCACTATAAACCAGAATTTTGCACTGTTCTAGATTCCCAAGAGCTAGAAAAGTCAGGTTACACTTGTCTGAGGTAGCTTGAACTCGCCGTAAAAGCTTATTTCCAGCTACAAAATCTTTCGGTGACCATTCACTTGAAGTGGACAGAATTCTATTCACATCGAAACACAAATCTGGTCTAGTCTGCATGGCTAACCATTGTAATTTCCCCAAAAGAGCCCGTAATGGTCTCTTACGTCGTTTGCTCATAAATTCGTCTTTATGTGGAACATCAACGGGTTCAATCTCCAAGGCATATTGTTGCTGGTCGATCTTGATACCGTCTGTGACGTCTGAAACGTCGAATCCTAGGTACTTGAAGGGAGCTTTTTCGGACTTTCTCACATCGAAATCCGACGAAATCTTTCTGATAACGGCATTTTCCGAAATTCTGGGTGCCTGACCACCAGAAATCATCCACGTGCGTCGCTATTAAACCCAGCAAAACTCCGTTTTCTTTGTAAATGAACAATGACGGGTCGAAAGCGGAAACTTGACAGCCTGTACTCAAAATGACACTTTTTACTCTCTCGTACCAGTGTCTAGCAGCGTCTACGAGCCCGTAAACGCATTTTTTGAGCCTCCACAAAACAGTGGGTGGTTCATCTGCTTCAACAGGCGGTTTTAGATGCACTTCCCGCTTTAGATCTTCGCCTTGTAAAAACGCCGTTTTTATGTCAATCGAATGAGAAATCCAACCCTTGCAGCTGGATATAGCGAGTAAAATTCTGAACGCGTCCTTCGAACACGTGGGTGAGTCCTTTATCACATTGTAATACTCGGGGTCCTCAAAGCCTTTAACAACCAACCTGGCTTTCTTTCGGCCATCTTTGTCAGTCAAAACCCATCGCGTGTTTAGGTATAGCTGCCCTGCGTCTTCGACTTTCTCAAAAACGTTGTTAGAAGCCCAACTTTTGAATTCTTCTTTCTTCTGCTCGTGAAACTCGTCGCTCACAGCCATGAACACTTCAGCAGCGTTCTCCTCAGTTACTGGACCTATCGGGATCACAGATTCACTAGTCATAACGTCAAAATCTTGCAGTTTAGTCACATCTACACAGTCAGTTTGGCCTCTGATGCACTCTGGTTGGTCATAGGTTACATTCCACCAGTCTTTGTTTTTCCCGCGCGCTTTCCCTCCGCGAGAAATCACCGTGGCAACGATATTTTCACCGTCAAAACCTGGTTCATTTGAAATAAACATCACTTTCTCTCCGATTTTCACCTTGTGGGGTCTAAAACTGGTAGTGGCGACGTCAGAATCGTCTGTTTTGGACTTCAAATCCTTCTGTATCACCTGGTTATCATCGGAATCATCAAAATTGATGTTCTCTAACCTCTCTAAACTTTGTTCATCGTCTGTCAAACCGGACTTTTGACGCTGATCAACGGGATTAACGCAAATTTGGCCCTGATAAGCTGGGATTTCGTCAGTTTTTGGCAAAAGTTGCATTCCGCTTTCTTGACTTGTCCAATTTTCCAGAGAAGTGGCGCTTCGTAGCTTCGATTTATGAACTCGTCTCAAAGATCCGCCATGACGAACAAAGATTACTGATCTATCTATTCCAGTTACAGTTCCGGGACCTCTCCAGCGGTTCTCATTGTCCATTTTATAGTAAACGGACTGACCATACTCAAAATTGACATCCTTATCAGCATATATCTTCGATTTAAGAGCTTTCTTCACGCGATTACTTGATTCAG